AGCTGCAGCAAACGATCATACAGTGGAGCCCCTTCCGGGCTGCTAGAGGGGCAGGGGCTCAGCACAGGCAATGCACACTCCTCGGGGTACGAGGGGTACTGCTGCTGCTGCTGCTGCTGCTGCTGCTGCTGCTGCTGCTGCTGCTGCTGCTGCTGGTGGCGCTGAGGCAGCAGCTGGGGCCGCTGCTGCTGCTGCAGCTGGTGCCGCTGCTGCAATAGCTGCCGTTGAAGCTGCTGCTGTAGCAACTGCTGCTGCTGCTGTAGTAGCTGCTGGTGCTGCTGCTGCTGCTGCTGCTGTTGCTGCTGCTGCCTCGGGGTCCAAGCGGGACCCAATCCTGCTGCTGCTGCTGCTGCTGCTGCTGTTGCTGCTGCTGCTGCTGAGCTGGGGGGAGGCAGAGACGAGCAGCTAAGAGAGCCCAAGGCAGCAAGCTGCTGCGGTCTGCTGAACCGCGGCTGCTGCTGCTCTTGTAGCTGCTGCTGCTGCTGCAGCAGGAGCTGCTGCTGCTGCTGCAATTGCTGCTGCAGCAACTGCTGCTGCTGCTGCAGCTGCTGCTGCTGCCAAGGGTTTCTATACCCACCCCCTACCTGACCGTTGCGTGCTGCTGCAGCTCCCTGCTGCTGCTCCCGCTGCAAATACGGCGGCAGCAGCAAGGGCTGCTGCTGCTGCTGCTGCTGCTGCTGTTGCTGCTGCTGCTGCTGCAATAATAAACTAGTCCAAGGATGCGGCAACAACGGTTGCTGCTGCTGCTGCTGCTGCTGCTGCTGCTGCTGCAGGTCCTGCAGCAACGAGAAGCAACGCTGCTGCAAGCTTCCATGCGGGAAGTCGGGTGCATGCAGTCGCTGCTGCTGCTGCTGTTGCTGCTGCTGCTGCTGCTGCTGCTGCAGGAGAGGTAGCAACAATCTGTCCAAAGGGTACCCCGGTTGCTGTTGCTGCTGCTGCCGCTGTTGCTGCTGCTGCTGCTGCTGCTGCTGCTGCTGCTGCTGTCGCGGGCGCTGCACCGCCAGGGGTCTCTGCGTCGGGGTGGGTTTCTGATTGAGGCTGAGCGAGAGACACGAGCTCTCTAGCTGCTGCAGCTGCTGCTGCTGCTGCTGCTGCTGCTGCTGCTGCTGCTGATGCTGGTGTTGATGGTGGTGGTGGTGGTGGTGGTGGTGGTGATGGTGGCGGCTGCTGCTGCTGCTGGTGGTGCTGGTGCTGGCGCTTGATGCTGCTGCTGCTGCTGCTGCTGCTGCACCAGCAGCACAAGTCTGCAGCTCTAGCAGCGAGGAGAGCTGAGAGATGCTGCTGCCAGCAGCAGCAGCAGCAGCAGCAGCAGCAGCAGCAGCAGCAGCAGCA